CTCTCTCTCTCTCTCTCTCTCTCTCTCTCTCTCTCTCTCTCTCTCTCTCTCTCTCTCTCTCTCTCTCTCTCGCTTGCTCGCTCGCTCTCGGTGGGTCGCTCGTCGTGGACCCTGCAGGCTCGTCCTTCTTCTCTCCCTCCTAGCAGTGAAAGTCAAGCTTGTGGCGCCACCCCACGTCGTGTAGGCTCCGTCAGCGATGGGTGGGGACTTGCGCCTGCCAGGAGGGAAGGGTTAGGAGTAAACGAGCGGCGAGAGAGCCAGCTATCGAGAGAGCGAGAGAGAGGCGAGAAGTGAGATAGAGAGGAGGAGGTGAAGAGAGAGAGAGGTACAGAGTGGTCGTTGGTCTGGAGGAGGTGGGGAAGGATGGGAAATGATGGGCTTGTTATACTTCTCTGCTCACACTCTTCTCTCTCTTTCACTATTAACCTCTGCTAACTTTCCTTTGACGACAAAATCTCTCTATCTCCCCCCTCCTCTCCTCTCCTCTCCTCTCCTCTCCTCTCTCTCTCTCTCTCTCTCTTTCTCCCACTTCTTGCCTCTTTGCCTCTCTCTGTGTCACCCTCTTGGCCCTCCCACTTCTGCCTTCCAGGTTCCAATTTCTCTTAATCGGTCATTCTGTTTTTACTTAAACAAACAATGTACTCACTCCATTTTGCGAAGCTATGGTCATTAGCTGCCTGTCTGTGTGTGTGGCTGGTTGGGAGATTGCACTCACAACACACTCACTGGCTCTCACTGTGTGTCTGTAGTGCATGGCCTGGGAATTTATGCTGAGCTTCTGTCCGTCTTTTTCGCCCTCCCGTATAATGCTACCTTCTTCCCCCGAACACAACGCACCTTCATTTTGGCTGCACCTGAGCGGAAAGATAGCTCTCGTACAGTTCATATCGGGCTGCGTTGTGTTCGGGGGAAGACTGTAGCCTCTGTGGGCTGGCAGCTGGCTGGTCTGCTGCTAAGAAACCCTCCAGATCAGCCTCACGCAAAGGCAATGCTGGGCGTAAGGACACAGTGGGAAAAGAAAACGGAACCGTCGAAGAAAACGATCCTTCATCTGAGTCCGGAAATTTTCAAAAATAAAAAAGTCACACAAAATCAATGCAAAAGAGACACATACACATACACACACACACACACACAAAAAAAAAAAAAAATTAAAAAAAAATAAAAGGGATCACTAGGTAGTCTGAAACGCCATAAAAACAACTCAAGAGAGGCTGAGAAAGAGTCTGGAAGCTGGAACAATGCAAACGCTGACTGGATACGTTGCATGTATCCTCGTCTGGTCGTATTTGCATTCAGATACATGGTAGGAATTTCAAAGTGTTGATGTGACTCGTGTGAGTATATACCCTCACACGTGCTCAGAAAAAAATTGCCCTCGTTTTCCCGTACAGAACTCATCTTCATTCGTTGGCCAATGGCTGCATGTGGCTCTAGAAGCAACCCCGATACATGCACCGTTATTCTGCGCTCCGTTCGGGCTAAGTGAGAAGATACTGCACGCGGAAGAATTCCTGGCTCTCAAGGGAAGACGAGCGGAAGACCTGAGACGCGGCCATTTGTCGGCTGGCACCAGAAAAGGTTTCCCACACTGCTTCTCTCTCTCTCTCTCTCTCTCTCTCTCTCTCTCTCTCTCTCTCTCTCTCTCTCTCTCTCTCTCTCTCTCTCTCTCTCTCTCGCTC